AAACACGTTACACTGGTGTCAGAAGTGGGATCAGTAACGAAACACGTTACACTGGTGTCAGAAGTGGGATCAGTAACGCAAAACACGTTACACTGGTGTCAGAAGTGGGATCAGTAACGCAAAACACGTTACAATACCATCTGCTTTAACATTCAAACACTGCATTTTGCTTACAGGGTGTATTGTGGGTTTTGTATATTCTCATAATAAACTGCAATTACTTCCATATAAGACAACCATTTGGTTGTCTTATATACACAGTATGTATAGAATTTTTAAATATTGTTTCAATTACTATCATGTTTCAAAGGGTTAAACAGGGAGTATTCACTCTGAAAATTATGATTTGTAAATAATATATATAGTAATAAGAATTAGAAATTTGTGATGCTGTCTGGATCGCAGAATTTCACAGCACCATTTCACAACTGACATATCACCACCAGAAACTGATATAAGCATTACTGCGTTTGTAATGGGTTCTTTCTTTCCTTATCACAGAGATATCACAAAATATGTGCAATGAATTGTATTCTCTAGTATGTTTACATGACATAGTCCAAATTTTAATTGTTATGCAGTATGAATAAGGAATTCCAACATCTCTCGCTGGAAGACATACGTCTAATTCATAAGGTCAGTTTCTTGAAGGTAGTAATCACAATATGTCATGGTGAAGTTTAATAAGAAGTGGATATAATTAATACCACTTCATACATTAAATATTCCTTTGTGTCTAATTTAATCTTTTCTTTGTCAACCCACATGTACCTGAGTTATGCACAGTGCACTGATATAATCCATCTATATACTTAGGCACTGCGTGGCATTCACTTTAGCACTGCATTTGTTAAAAACACAGTTTCTTATTCTAGAACACTAGTCAATACTACACTGAGTAAATTTCATGTTTAATAACGTGAATGAAAGAAATACCTTCTTCTTCTTCTTGATCACTTCAAAATATTTGTGGAATTTTATCTAGGAAATACTGAGTGCGTTAACTTGTATGCTGTATGCAAACAAATAAGGCATTATTGATAAATAACACTTATCATACAGAGTTAATGACAATTCAGGGGATGAGAATTAAATATTTGCCATCTGTCAGAAACCACAACAAACAGTGACAATTCCTCTATTCATTGTTGCCTTGCTCCTTCTTGTGTGTGTGTCTTTCTCTATGTAAGCAGTCATGCTGAAGAAAAAAATAGAAATGATGACAATGGAGACAGCTGTTCAGTCAGAAAAGAATTAAGATAAATAGCTAATAAAGCTGAATAAACCATACCCATACATTGTGGTTTCTCTCATACACTGGAAATGTCTTACTCAAAATCATATCATTATTTGTATGTTTATCATATACACTCAGTGATTCCTTTTTCAGAAAAGGAGGGTGCTGGTACTTAAATAGTGAAGCGTAATATTTTAATTTTTTTCTTTATAAAGAGTAATGCAAATATACCCTGAATTCTGGAAAATTAGGTACTTGACTTGACGAAAATTATCTCATTTATGTCTCAGTTAATTCCCCAATTTTACTCATTCTTTTTCTTTTACCTTTTGTTTCATGAGAAAGGAAGAAAAAAATGACATGGGTCTACAGTAACACTGAAAGGTTTAACCGCATATTTGTTGCCTGCTTTGTTCATTCCTTTGTTTCAACTTTGCAGACCAGGTGCTATAACATCCTGAACCCACTGCTCTAAGAGAATTGCTTTACTACAGATTTTGTCCAGTATATTTTAAATTAATTCTTACAACAGTTTAAGGAATGGTATAAAGCAAGAATGTTAACATTTACAAAACAGTATTTGATTTTCATCTTTGTAACATTTTAATTGTATCTGAAAAGCTGAAAGTGTTACTTCGCAATATTCAAACAAAATTCAGTCATGCTGTAAATGTAACAAAAATATGTTTCTGACAAGAACCTTTGTAAGCACATAACATTAGTTATAGAAGCAGCCCTTGTTTTGCATAAGAAAATAAAATAATTATCACATTCTCAGAGGACAATGGATTTAACCCTCTCAGATTTTCTGTTTGTCTCAAATTTTTCCGAAAATCGTGTTTGAATCCACTGTCAAACTGAGTAAGTTTGTATTCCAATCAACTGTCAAACCACTAATACTATAAACTGAACCTAGTACTTGTGATATGTTGTATATTCAAATAAACTGACTTCAAAATATAAAAATCAGTATAAGTATGAGAAATCTCCATGACGACATATAACTACAAAAATAGCATGAAAGAATATGTCTGACTATTGCCAGTAAAGTATTTTGATGTTTGTTGCATATGATCGGTGTATTTTCCACATGGAATGATTGATGTAAACATGTAATTTGAATGTGTAAAAACCTGTATAACACATGTGAACTTGGTCCTCTGGAATAACTAAACATATTCAAATAACATTATTGAAGTTTTTGAAAATTATGTTTTAAGAATTACCTTTTTAAATAACATTACCATATTACCATTACTACAATTTCGCAGTAAAATTCCAAATTCTGAGACTGAAAAACTACAAATTTATATCAGTAGGCTGTCCTGAATGACTGTCTTTATGATAACATGCATCTTCACAAGACACATAACAGGTGAAATATAGAGTCACACATTTAGACCCACAGTTGGAAATTTCTGATGTAGGCTTTACTTTATTTAACCCTTACAGTCAGATATCTCCTCAGTGACATCTAGTTCAACATATTTTCTTGTAACATATGTCACTGGTAGAGTCAACTCTGAGAACGCAGTGTTGGTACAGAACAGATAGGCAACCTGTCAAGAAAACGGTCTCACACACATATTAGTATTTCAAAATTCTTCAAAAACATGGCTGTAAAACCCACAGCCAAAATGGTAAGGTTATAGTAGAATTTCCAGCCACATTTAAATGTGTTAAAGTGCTGACATTTATGATTTCTTTAATGTCTCGCAATTACCTTGTTATTTATGAATCATATTCCAGGAACCCAGTTAAATGCATTAATTCGATGTTTGCAGTAAAGTGAAAAGAAATATGTCTGTAAAAAGAATAGACAATCCTTCAACACATGTTAGGCATTCTGCATTGAAAGATTTTTAGGCCTTTCTTTGTTTTACTGGCTGAACAAAAATATCCACACATGTGTATAAGAGTAGTCTTCCTCCCACCACAGCAATGGGAAGAGAGAACAAAACATGTCCAGTTAAGACTTACAGCTTTATATTGTCATGATTCAGTCAAGTCTTCTAGGAATGCAAGCTATAGCATAGGCAAATAAGGCTGATTTTAGTAATCTCCTCCTTCTGCCATCAACATCAACATTCTTCCATCATCAGAGTACCATCTTCATTTACCCCCATTCAAAATTAGGCTAAATTACATGAGATTTGGACTACTTTAGACAAGTGGCAATCTCAATGTATTCATGCCTCACCTCCATCCCACTAACACTAGTCTGGGACAGATATTTACCCCACCCCACTCCATTCTCTTGTATACAGAGTTTCCATAAGAGAATATAATTATTTAATATTTAAATAGTCACTGATTGTGATATGGTAGGACAACATAACAAATATTGAATTTCAAATAACAGTGTATTATTTGTTTGATTTATGTGTATAATAAGCTGCAGATGATACACTATATTAGAGAAGCTGACAGACAACTTGACTTTAAATCTGTCACCTATAGATTCTCTTTCTTTCTTTCTGTCAAAGAAAACCATTTGTTACATAAAATGCTTTCCTGTACTGTCCACTGGAACAAACTGTAGAACTGAATTTATGATTGAATTATATTATATGTATCCAAAGTAACGTAGGAAGACTTCTACACAAGAATTAAGAGAAAATATGTTTTGACTTGATTTCTGTTAAAAGTTTGGCCTGTGCAAATGGTAGACTCAATTCCTCATATATGCCAGATAAGAGGGAGTTTTACCATATATCATCAACCATCTAGACCCCCCCCCTTACATGTCGGACTGATGGTCAGATGATCAAAATATTGCTGATTCCAGTCGTCAGCCTTTCATTCCCATGAGATACCCTGTATTCACTGAAGAGGTTGTGATGCCAAAGTTACAGCAGAACAATTGTTACATCAAAGCTGAAGGAAATGCTTACACACAGAATGTGTCTGGAATCTTAAAAGAGTGCATCAGCGCTAGCACTAAGTAGGTTTTACTTGAAGACGGAGACAAAATCCAGTCTCTGAAACGCATGTTTCTAAATGAAAACAGGACGGTGATTTAGACCAGTGGTTCTGAACCTTTGTCAGACCACAGCCTAATGAATTATTTTTTCCATAAGACGAGGACAAAGTATAATTAATACCAGGGTTTGGTACCAGGCTGTGGCCCAGTGGTTGAGAATCACTGATTTAGACAAAAACAGGATTACAGATAATGTCCAGAAACATAATATTTGTACTACTTTTTGCTAACATCCAACTGGTGGAACTTCCTAATTTCTCTAAATGAATTATATAGACAAAACTGGATTGAAAAACATTAAGATGACCCAGAGATGCTGATGCACTGTGTTCTGTAATATTCATAACGGACCTCAATAGGTCTAGTACTGCTGAGGATTTAACCATGACATCATCTGTAGCTCCAGCCAAGAAAACTTCACTCAAACATAACATGTTAGCATTTAAATCACTGAATTTGTTGATATGAAAGGTTTGCAGCAATTAAAATGGAATAAGGAACATATCCATCCATAGTAATGTCTTAGAATGGACATGATGAAGTTAAAAACATGAAGCAATAAAGCAATAAAGGTGTTATTGTTGCACAAAATGTTCAACTTCCATCTGTGCCTTTGATCTTTCTGTATGTAAGTGTGTGTATTTCTTTATGTATGTAAATGCTATGAGAAACAAAAATGACAATGCACAATGGGAATGATAATTTGTACATGAAATTGTTACCTAACACTACTGACATATTTACAGTAACAATGCCTGTTTCTCCACAAAATTCCCCTCTTTATCATGTTGTTATCCTGTAAATGATAGGCTAAATTCTAACTAATCCTTTTCCTTTTTATCTATTTTTGCATCCTTTTTTTCTTTCTTCTTATCAGCTTTGACTTCTTTCTTGCTTTCTTTCTTCTCTGTTTTCACTTCTTTCTTACTCTCTTTTTTGTCAGTTTTGCTGTCCTTCTTTTCCGTTTTCATTTCTTTCTTCTCTTCCTTCTTCTCTGTTTTGGTTTCTTTCTTCTCAGACTTTTTATTCTGTTTATCCTCTTTATTTTTATTGTCCAAATTTTCATCTTTTTCTTTCCTTTCATCCTTTTTCTTCTCTTCTTTCCGCTTTTCTCCTTTTCTGTTGTCTTCTTTGTTGGCAGGTTTCAGTGGTGATCGGAAGTATGTGGTTGTGGTTATGGTTGAGGTGCTAGTGGTAGTGGTGGTTGAAGTTTTGAGCAGTGGTGTTGTCTCTAATTGTGTGACAATCTTCTGGGCACATCTGTAACAGACCAGTGATATCATATCTCCTAAACAAAGTCTATAACACATATATAAATTTGCAATTAATTATTCTGCAATACTATGAAATAAAAAGAGAACTTGAGATGAAGTGAAGTTAGAAAAGGCTATTTGGACCAGGTAGTGGTCAGACATAAAACCAGCCAACTGTCAGACGTGTTCAGTGTTGGTACTTGGATATCTGAAAACAGGGAGAACTGACTTAATAAAATAAATTATCTATTTATTTATAAATAAATATTTATTTATTCTCAACAGTTTAAACGACAAATTTAATGATTAATTTGTCAGCAAGTACTGACATTTATTTACGTGCAGGTAGATCTTACGATCTACTTGGTGATGATGTCAGTACTTGCTGACATGGCACTGACTGGGAGGATGGCTGGTAAACAATGGATTGGAAAGGGTGTGGAAGGATGTGACTGTGACATAACTAGAGATGCTATCCCATCATGCACCTGGATGAACTGAGGAAATGCACAAGAGCCTCAGTCAGGGTAATTACTGTCCTCATCAAGATATACACATAAATTAATGCTCATTAAATTAAATCTTTTTGAGTCAACAGCTATGTTTAAGTGCAATACAGTTATTTCACATTTTGCACCTGCCTTTGTGACTATCATTAGTGAAATTTTTAGACTTTGACCGATATCAGTATGTGGCCGATAGCTTCTAATTACATTTAGTTACTGTGAAAATCACAGTATTTATTCATGATCATCGTTTCCAAAGATAATTAATCCTGTGATAAAGGTCTTCCATTTATGTTTGATAGATATTCAGCTAACCAAGGTACTCCCATTTATAAGGTCTGAAAACTCATCAGTGTGATCAGAAAAGCCAAGCACTGGAACTTATCCTAATCCCACTTAATCCTCTTCCCATATTCATAACCTGTTTTTTTCATGATCAGTTTTAGTCTGTTCTCACACCTACATCTAAATATTTCCATGTAACCTGTGAAGCTAATCATGCAATCCAGTTCATTCTCTCACAGATACATCTCTCCTAGTTTCAAATATCATTCTACATTTTCAGACACCATCAATTTCTCTGTTCTTCTCTATATAAAACCTACATCAAACAGCAGTAAAAGATAGTTCTATATTTTTCAAGAAAATATAACAAATTTCATGGTAGAGGTTCTTCATTTAAAAGTTGATAGCCACTCAGTCACTCAATAAATTCCCTGCTTTTATGGAACATGAAAGTTTCATCTGTATGATTGCTGTGTGACATTACAGTATTTGTACTGCAAACTGTGAGACAGTTTGGATTATTCGTCCTCAAAAAAACCTACTGCTGTTTTATTGGTCTATTTATCAGAAGAGATTGATAACACTGGATGATGGAACTCACCTAATCCGCGTGGAAGACGAAGAAGTAGTTCGCTCCTTACCAGCCCGGAACTCTCGCTGGAACTCCTTGATAGGCGGGAGGCGCACAGGCTTCTCTGGTTGTTCCTTGTTCGACCTCACTGGCTCCTTGTACTCCTGGATCCGGAGCTGGGGGTTACAAGTGCTTAAACTTTATGAACATGTCATTTTTTCTGTTGCTCCTAATAAATATGTCCAAAATAGGCTGGCACTTTTATTATATATTCTTTGCATTGAGTGCTTAAAATGACAACATAATTGGTAGATCATGTCTGTCTCCTATCATAGTTTGCCAGCTCCTGGTTACTTGGGACCTGCACTGTAGAAGCAGTGTCCTCTAATAAGTTATGAACAAAGAAAGGAAAAGTTGCACCTCAAGTTATAATTAACTGTTTCAATAAAATGCCAGTATTTACATCTGCTTTCCTCACAAGAGTGCAGCGCATGTTGAATAAAACAAAATGAAAGAAGAAAAATACTTTAATATTTTTATGTTATATACAAACTATAAATCCACTGTTTCCTAAACACAGACAGTAGTACCATAGTTCAGGTGGCTAGTTGCCTGTTTCTCACCACAGAATCCAGAATTCATTCTCTTGCTCATTCTTGTGTTATTTGTGGTAGAGATAGTGGCACTGGGACAGGTGTTTCTCGAAGCACTTATTTTTAACCTGTCAGTTATGATTCCACCAGTTCCTCACGCTTGCCTATCGTCAGGGGCTGGTGCAATATACAAGTTTGCAGCTGCAGTATGAAGAGACTCAACTACAACTAATGTATTGGATCTGGAACACTGAATTAAATAAGAGATAAAGCTAATAAATCTATTACTTCTTTACTATCTTACATTTTGTACCAAATCATGAACTGTTCATGCATTTCTGCATCGGGGCAGACCCTTGGGTCTAAAGCTTGAAGTTGTTATTGCTGGTGATAGTAACGTCTCAATCTCTATTGTCAGCTGAACAAACCTTCATTGCTTGAGTCTGGGATTTCCGGAGTGACCCGGTGGGCTGTCGTGGGTAGCCCATCCTCAGCCCAGTACATTTCCCCGACTTGTTTGAGCCCTGACTGCCATTGGTTGCAGAGCTCACGGAAGACACACCTGGAACAAATGAAACATAACATTTTATTAAGGCCAACAATTAAATATTATCTCACTCTTTCTATTCTGTACAAGGATTTAATTATATTGAGAATTCTTAAATATTGCAAATTTTTATGAAGATATGTTTTGACACATTTCTTTAGCTTAGGTCGTTTATCCAAGGAATCTGTCCAGCTCCGAGGCTTCTTGAGAATTTTCATAAAATGTTTACTTTTTAAGATGAGGAGTTGTTAGCCCCACGCCGAACCCGCAAGCTGGAGGACCACCCCTTGTCCCCTGTCCGCGACTGCTTATTCAATATATTCACAACTTCCCTCCATACATGGAGGGCATCTCCATCCGCAACCTGAGGACGTGCCATACTGTGGTGACAAGGGACCCACCTGGCAGTTTTGCTCGGGGCAGTGGCGGAAGAAATCTTAAAATATAAGTTAGATTTATTGGGGGTACGGGAGATCAGATGGGATGGCGGTGGCATTGCACCAGCAGGCGAATATACATTTTTCTATGGAAAAGGGAATGAAAATCATGAATTAGGTACAGGTTTTTTCATACATAATAGAATCGTATCAGCAGTTAAGAGGGTAGAGTTCGTTAGTGATAGGATATCATATATAATACTACAAGGTCGCTGGTGTGATATCATTGTTATGAATGTTCACAACCCAACAGAAGATAAAATTAATGGACAGGTTAAAGAACTAGAACATGTATTTCATAAATTCCCGAAGTACCACATGAGAATTTTGTTAGATTTCAATGCCAAAGTAGGGAGGGAAGACATTTTCAAACCAACTATAGGGAATGAGAATCCTCATGAAATTATTAATGATAATGGAGTTAGAGTTGTAAACTTTGCCACATCAAAAAATCTTACTGTCAAAAGTACAATGTTCCCACATCGTAACATCCATAAATTTACTTGGACATCTCCTGACAGGAAGATACAGAATCAAATTGACCATATTTTGATAGATAGGAGATGGCATTCAAGTATAGTACTTCATGTCCGATCATTCAGGGCAGCAGTTTGTGATACTGACCACTACCTGGTGGTGGCAAAGGTTAAGGAAAGACTGGCAGTGAGCAAATAAATAACGCACAGAGTTCATATGGAGAGGTTCAATCTCAAGAAATTAAATGAGGTAGAGGGTAAAGAGCAGTATCGTGTTGAAATCTCAAATAGGATTGTTGCCTTTGAATACTTGGAAACTGAGGTGGATGTTAATAATGCTTGGGAAACTATTAGAGGCAATATAAAAGTTTCTGCCAAGGAGAGTCTAGGTTATTATGAACTGAAGAAGCATAAGCCATGGTTCAATGAAGGATGCTCAGAATTACTAGACCAAAGAAAACAAGCCAAATTGCAATGGTTACAGGATCCAAGCGAGTTAAATGGGGATAATCTGAACAAAATACGACATGAAACCAGCAGGCATTTCAGGAATAAAAAGAGGCAATATCTGAAAGACAAAATTGATGAGCTTGCAATGAACAGTAAGAACAAGAATATTAGAGACCTGTATAGAGGAATAAATGACTTTAAGAGGGGTTACCAACCTAGCAGTAACTTAGTGAAGGATGAGAATGGTGATCTGCTTGCAGATTCCCACAACATTTTGAATAGGTGGAGGAACTACTTCTCTCAGTTATTGAATGTACATAGGGTCAGTGAAGTTAGGCAGAAAGAAATCGATACAGCTGAGCCGTTAATACCTGATCCTAGCCCTTTTGAGGTTGAAAGTGCTATTGCAAAATTGAAAAGGTATAAATCTGCAGGTAGTGATCAAATTCCAGGAGAAATTGTTCAAGCAGGAGGCGAAATATTATGTTCTAAGATCCATAAGCTAATTACTTCTATTTGGCATAAGGAAAACTTGCCTGATCAGTGGAAGGAATCTATTATTTTACCAATTCATAAGAATGGTGATACAACCGACTGTAATAATTATGGGGGGATATGACTGCTATCAACTTCATACAAAATTTTATCCAATATTCTTCTCTCAAGGTTAGGTCCATATATAGCTGAAATTATTGGGTATCATCAGTGTGTGTTTTGTTGTAACAGATCAACTACAGATCAGATCTTATGCATTCATCAAATATTGGAGAAAAAAAATGGAAGTACAATGAGACAGTACATCAACTCTTTGTAGACTTCAAGAAAGCCTATGATTGAGTTAGGAGGGAAGTATTGTACAATATTCTGATAGAGTTTGGGATACCCATGAAACAAGTTAAGCTGATTAAAATGTGTTTAAACGAAACTTACAGTAAACTCTGTATAGGTAAACATTTGTCTGATAAATTTCCTATCCAGAATGGTCTAAGACAAGGAGATGCTTTATCGCCACTCCTTTTCAACTTTGCTTTAGCATATGCCATTAGGAAAGTCCAGGAAAACCAGGTGGAACTGAAATTAAATGGGACACATCAGCTGTTGGTCTAAGCCGATGATGTGAATCTGCCAGGTGATAACATAGATATCATAAAGAAAAACACACAAACTGTAACTGACGCAAGTAAGGAGGTTGGTCTGGAAGTAAACACAGAGAAAACTAAGTATATGTTACTGTCTCGTCACCAAAATGCAGGGCAAAATCATGACATGATGATAAAACAGGTGTTTTGAAAATGTGACACAGTTCAGATATTTGGGAATGACAATAACAACTCAAAACCTGATTCAAAAGGAAATTAAGAGGAGATTTAACTTGGGCAATGCTTGCTACCATTCAGTCCAGAACTTTTTGTCTTCTCATCTGCTGTCCAAAAACATAAAAATTAGAATATACAAAACTATAATTTTGCCTGTGGTTCTGTATGGGGCTGAAACTTGGTCTGTGACGTTAAGGGAGGAACATAGACTGAGGGTGTTTGAGAACAGGGTGTTGAGGATAATATATGTACTGAAGAGAGATGAAGTGACAGGAAGTGGAGAAAACTGCATAATGAGGAGCTTC